AGTTATGGCGCATTTCCACTGCAGGGCCTTGCACGGCTTAGTACGGTATAGTTAGGCCTTGGTAGGCCAGGCTCACTTTATGCTGCGTTTCCATTACAGTTTAGTGGCTGGGGCAGTAACTATAGTAACGCAGTGTAGGCGTGGCGATCAGCTTTTCGGCGGACGGACCGACGCTGCGTAGCAGAGCCGTGACGTCATCTTCAATGCGAACCACAAAACCAACATCAGCCGTTAGCTGTTAGCACTCAGAGCTCACAGCTCCTCATATCTGTTCAGAAACTTGACAAAAGTTAAACAAGTACAAACCCCAGACTGTCTGTGTCATGGCGAGTACAGTCGCTGCTTTATTTATGTCTGTAGGCCGTTGTTGTGAGTGTGGCCGGTCGGAGCATATACTGCGTTAGCCATTCAGAAAACACGCATTTTAAAAAGGTTTTTCGCCTGCCGTCTGTCTGCAGACTTGTCAAAGCATTAATTCATGGTTTTTACTAACGGGTATCAGTATGTTGTTACTTCGACATCATTTTGAAATATCTATTACAATTAAATCACGGTCAAATATGTTCATTTTGTTGTAGTTCTAGCCCCCTTGCCAGCGATTCTCTCTGACCATTCAGCAGTCTAGTTTAGCATATTCAGCCCGGTTGTTGACCCGGTAAGAAACTTGATTTTGGAGGGCCAGAAAAAAGGTGAAAAAGTAGTCCTGAGCCGGAACTACCCCTAGTGGAAAAGCAAAAAAAAACGGGCCGGGTTTGGCACGGCACGCTTAAACCGTGCTACGCGCTGCAGTGGAAATGCGCCATAATATGCTCTCAGGGCAGACGGGGGCCGGGGCCTACAGATCACCACTAATTGGCTCTCCGCTGGAGAACAGAAACGAGGACGTCAGCCGTCAGAGAGCGGAATGTCACAGAGGGGAAATCAGCTTTTTATAGTCATCTCATTCTCAACATGCCACTTCCCAACCTCACGCCTTCAGATTCAACAAGGATTCCAATTATTAGGATGAAAAACTGTGATTCATAATACAAGCACTAAAAAAATGTGTCACAGTATAGCATAGTCAAACTGTTTGACTATGGAAGTCTTTGTTATTTTATGTGAGTTACGCCTAAGGTTCAAGGACAATTTTATCTGAACATGGATTGGAGTCTGCCAACAACACTGTAGGGCTGTACCCGAATATCCGAATATTCGTTCGTTGGAGTACTATTCGGTTTTCAATTTCGTTATTCGGATATTCGTTTTTTTTGGCAGTGCACTGCACTGCGGCTGCCAAATTGAATTTATTGAAATATCCAATATCAACGTAAGAGCTTGTGCCTCTTCGGGGGGTGATAACACTTAACTTTATCGTTTACTTTCTCCGTCTTTATATGTAGATATGACTTTTCTCCGTTAATCTCCGCCACGTTGTTTCCATAGCAACAACAACTTCCTGTCAACAGCGCTAAAATAGGAAGCCAAGCCAAATTATACAACTGCAACGAAAATAACAAATAGAATGCAATATCCTTTTCGATTTCAAAGAACACAAATTGGGTTGTATACATTAACAAATAACTAGAAAACAACAATATTGTAGAATAACAAAATGAATGCCGTGAATAAAACCAAAATACACGTTTTGAAGCGGTTTGCTGCTGATTACTACGCAACCCCCCCGCGGGACAAATATCCGAATATTCGCTGCTGTTTACTACCAAATATCCGGAGCACGAAAAATGGTATTCGGGACAGCCCTACAACACTGGCCCATTGAAAATACTTTGGTAAAGATCAAGAAATCTCAACAACTACACATGGCCACAAATAAATTAAATAGTAATTCCCAATGTGTTGGTTAAAAAGGAAATCTTTCCTAGTAAAAATAAATAAAAATAAAATAGTACTACCATCATATTCAATTTCAATAGAGGTTTATATAAACTTTAGAAGGTTTTCATGGTGATACAATTGTACATTATTTTTGGAGATGGCCAGGTAAATTGTCTGACTTCGCTAACTAACTGAATGGAACAAGAGCTCAAAGAAAACGGTTTTACAGACACATTCAGAAGTTTCTGGTTCACGCAGACATCTGCTTGCCATGTCAGAGGGTCAAGGCTGAAATAGTAGGGGTATAGTCTACGTTCTGAACAATGTCTGTTATTTCTGTCCTTTTTGTACAGACGAGGTGCGAATGACATGGTTTACTGAATACACACAGTGATTCACTCATCACACAGCTGTCACAGGTTAATGTACAATTGTCGCTGTAAGTCTGCTGTTTTGTTCCATAGTCATCCTCCGAACAGTGGTGAATGATATGACATCATAACAAAATCAACGTACCCATCAGATTCAGTCCTTTGCTCCTGTCCACCACAGACCTAGATTTAAGACTTCATATCAACAAATGAACTTTCCTTCAATAAAAGAGAAGCCACTTCACTAAAGCCGGGAGCATCTGACCTGAATTCAACGCTGGCTGTGAAGGATAAAGACAAACTGTCCTCCTGGCAGGCTCAGCCCAGGTTGGACCACAGCATGAACCGGATCCACAGCCTGTTCAGTGAGGTTAAGAAACAGCAACCATGTAGAGAAATTGATGTTATCATGACTGAACACAAACGTTCTAGAAAACAGTGCAACACTTAAAAATATCATTACAAGCACGTGACACTTGATCAAAGGTTAGGTAAACATGACAGAACCTGGCCAAGCACACAGAGTCCACTTCAGAACGTGACCTTCTCATGCGGGTTCTAAATTCAGGAGTGGGTTTTGAGGTTTCTCACTCAAACATGACACTACTCACTGCTGTTCATTAAGAGTGATAAGCACTGAGGAGGAATAGAGTGAGACTGTTATTGCACCGGTAATTATTCCTCACTAAACAGCAACAGAGAGATGTGAAGTGCAGATTAGAGCTAAATTACAGAATATATGATCCGGATCGACAGGCAGGGCTCGTGTAAACAGTGTTGCTGATCATCTGAAAGCCAAAACATCAGATTTACACCGATGACAACATGGTGCTCCACAACAAATAAAACACAGTTATTGACAACACAACATGATATATGTTACACCTCGGTGTCAGCAGACAGTGTTGTTAAATGTAGAACTGAAAGGCAGCGGGAAATAAATAAGGAGAAGTTCCTCTCCACAGCTCGTCGAGCTAGAAACTAGCTTAGCTTTGCAAAGCAACAGTGTCACCAGACTGTCGCTAATGCTAGCACAACTATCGACAGCTTTCAGTCTAACCTACTTTAATGAACCAACCAGTGACCTGGGCCTTCGTCGTCTTCTATCCCCTCTGTGGTGTTAGTGTGTTGCCCAGTCGACAAGATAGTACAAACCCTCTCCCGTAAACACTGGATAACTGGGACCTGTAATAACAGCTAGCTGCCGAGACTACGACAGCTATCTTCTCATTCCGCAGATATACAGTGTCAGAAATACGAAACCTGTCAGTGGTTTCGGACTCACCGGTATTCTTTCTCAACAGACATCAATCCGAATAAAGGAACGAGGGATAGCGAGCTTCAATGTTTAGAGTTAAAAGTGGACTTCTGCACATCGCTGCTCAGTACGCCATCTTGGATCTGCTGGATACTTGGACTCAACCAAATGTGGCATACAGCAGGGGGAGGATTCCAAATACAACCCCCCAAAGTGATGTATCTAAAGTTTGTTTTAACATACCAAGATCAGAAGAAAGACATGGTCCTCATCCGGGAGAGGTTGGAGGATTTTCAGTGGTAACGTTGACATCCTTCTTCTCTTACCGCATATTACTGATGGATAACCCCTGGACCCACAGTGTCCACAGTGCAGTGTTCCTTCCCAACGTACAGATGTGCTCAGTGTGTGATGTGTCCCTGAACATGTGAACCTGCCTCTGTTCAGAGCTTTCTGTGAGAGCAGAACATGTCTAAATGCATCAAATAAATGTTCAAAATCAATGTTTGAATTTAATATATATAGGTACATAATTGTTTCGGTACCACTTTACAATAAGACTACCTTTATAAAGGATTCATAAAGGTTTATAATTAGGTTGAGTTGCCCTAATGTGGGACACGCCCTAATGTGGGACACCTAAGCTCAAATGGGTGTAGGTCTTCCGCAAACAAATGAGAGTCAATTAAACTACGGGATAACACAAGCTGTGATGTCATGCGATCAAAACCACATGACTTCTCAAATGTCCAATCACAGATGAGGGTGGAATCAATCAGATCAATTGTGTTT